TTTTATAGATGATAAAACACATTTGTAAATATTAAAATTAACATACTTTCTTAAATAATTTCATATCCGCACACGGTGCAGACCGATCACCTAGTTGATAATATACAGTAGGAGTAGACAAAGGTCAAAATCGAAAAAGTCAATATATCGATATCTCATTTACATCTAATTAAGTTTGATGTAAACTACTAAGTATGTAATTAGTCCGGGATATCGGATACAACTGCAAAATCATATAGATGAAAAATGATAACATGTTTTGTTAGTATCACAACATAAATTTGATAACATATTATAGAAATTGAAAGATATTGATAAAAAGCATCTTTGAAGAAGTTCGATCTCTTCCATTAAACTCTTCAAGCTTTGGCCATTCTCTTCAATTCCTAGTACAACTTTGGTCATCGAATTCCGAGTCATTTTCAAAGAGCATGTCATTATAACATTTTGGAAAGAGGCGCATGCGACAGATTTATTTGTTGTTTCAGTATCCATAACATTTCCAAAGTCTCCTAACAATTGGTAACACGAATTATTAAACTTTAAATTCGAGTTGGAATGGTAACATTCAAAATATTCACACCTAAAAACATTAATTTATATAATCACGTTCCTACCATGGCTACTTTGCGGCGGCCCATTGCTAGGCTCCACGTGTCAGTATCATCGTCTTGAATTTTAAGCAAAACTAACCAACAAAGATCAAATATTGTTCCCCACATGTTCTTCTCTGTAATCTTTGTAAAAACCCTAGTTTTAATATCCAAGAAAATTACGAGGCTAAAGAAAAAGTCAAAAGCTGAAGCTACAAGAAAGCAAATGCTACAAAAATATTACTCACTTCTTTTTCTCCTCTCAATATTAGGCTATGCTCTTAATCTTTTTGTCAAAGAGATGCTAAATCATACATAAAGTAATTAGATACTACAATCACACGATAGATAAGTTTCATATGAGTTTCCATACTCTCATGAATGTGTAAGCTAACTACAACATATATCCAAGATAGCAAATTAACACTATTTCTTTCGACGTCTAGCTAGCTTGGGGAAAAAAGACTGGCTCAAAACTATTTTTCAAATAATCATCAAACGACAAGACATTCATAGAGCTTGGCCAATAGTGTTGGAATATATATATAAAACAGTGAATTTCGCAAATACAAAATTTGACATCAATATCTTTTGTAAAAAAGGGTTGAAAACCAAGTGTAGGTAGGTGGTGGTGAGCGTTCGGTTATTTGGTTCGATTCAGTTTGGGTACTTCGTTTTTTCAGTTTTCAGTTTTTTTGGTTTCGAAAATATAGACTCATATTCGGAATTAAACTATCTTATTTCAATTAATATTGTAAAATGTTTAATGTATTTTAATATATATTTATTTTAAAATATTAGTTTTTAATATAAAT